GGAGACGGGCTGTGCGGGTGCGATGCTAAAGGAGACTGTGCCTGCCCTTGCTGGCACAGATCTACGCGGACCCTGCCAGAAGGCTGGAGCTGTATTTCCGCCCCAAGGACCCTTACTGCCATCCCGTATGTGCCAATCGCTTCCCCACCTCCACCATGCTGCTCAAGGTGAAGAGGAGGACCAAGAAGAAGAAGCAGTTGGACACGGAAGAACGAGTCCAGCCAGAGGTCCAGTTCGAAATGGAAATTCTTGGGACTGTCACCACTGTTTATAAATTTCAAGGTAATCCTTGGATTTGTGTCCACGTGGCTTAAAGACGAGTGTGTCTGATGGGAAAGGGAAGCGTTTCCCTCCAAGAATTTAAGACTGGAAGGACAATCGAGTCTCCTGTTGTTAAAGCCTCCTTGCTGTATAAACCTTTGCATAAACTTATCAGACTTCTGCTCCTGAATGTTGAGTGTTGTAAGAAATGTTGTTATATTCACAACGAACTTCACAATGTTTTAACTTTTGTTTCTCACAGGAATGTCTGATTTCCAGTACCTGGCAATGCACTCTGGTCCCGATGGCAAACAAACCTCCATGTATGACAAAGTCCTAATGCTCAAACCAGAGAAGGAAGAGTTTTTCAATAGAGAATTACCTCTCTACATCCCGCCACCGATTTTCTCACGTCTGGACACTCCTGTTGACTATTTTTATCGGCCAGATATTCAACACCGGTTAGTGCCTTTTTTCATAATGTAGTAAATAGCTGTGTTGGTTCTGGAATGGACAGGCAGTGAAACATTTTGCTGGTTTGATATATATTTCTAACTGACGAGTCCTCAGGATTTCCTTTTTCATCACTTGAAGATGCCTCCAGTCCATTGTGATGGATGATGTTAGTGTTGGATATCTGCTCTTGAAGCATCAGAGCAGTACTAAGTACATCGTTCATGTATTTCACCTGTTTAAGCTGCTGCCTTGTTCTGTTTTATCTCTCTTGATTTGGCACAACAGAGGCAGGCACGCTTGAAAAACTGCCTGGACAGCAGAAACCTCGGCAAAAGTCCGCTTGCGGACTTGCCAGGTGAGGGGAGCTGGTGGTCTGGTGAAGATGACTGCCTCCCCCAGCACGCTACGCGCAGTGTGGGGTGCAGTGAGCCTGGCTTTCTGCCTGCTTCCAGTGGGCTGGAGCCGAGGGGGGACTGTGCCGGAGTCGATGCCATATGTTCCTGTGACCGCACTCGCCGGACCTGTTCCCTCCTGGCCCCCGGCTGGTTTTGCCAGAAGAACAATCTGCGAGATCTCCCACGAGAAACATCTTTCGTTTTCTCACTGTAGTCCTTCATCGGCGCTTAAAAAACAAAAAATTATCTTAACTGCATTTCCATCTTGCCTTGTCCCTGTACCCTACTGAGCTGCAGTAATTACAGTAGAGCAAATGCAGAGGGTGAAGCCTTTTCTGCTGCAAATACATTTCATACAAATCAGCAGCCAACTGCCTGAGGGTTTTCTGCCAGACGGTACAGGGGACCTCTGTCACTGTGCAACTGGACGTAGCTTTGCAGGGTTTTTTCCATTCAAAATTTCTTTCCTCAATGGTGTCGCGATATGTGATTCCAAAATCCCTAGGGAGGTGGGCCCCAAGGTAAACCAACCCATTGCTCACATGGCTGAGTCCCTTCTCTCCCGGAATCTGGAGCGCAAACTTCCATTTTCGCATGTTCCCGTGAAAGCTCCGAGTCCGTGTGTGCCACAGGCAGAAATCAAACCCGATCCTTTCCCTCTTTCTTAGGGAGGGATACAACAATCCCCAGGTGTCTGGTGAGAACCTGATTGGCCTCAGCAGGGCCCGTCGCCCGCACAACGCTATCTTTGTGAACTTTGATGATGAGGAAATCCCAACTAAACCCCTGGATGCTGCTGTACAGACCTGGAAGAAAGTGTGCACCAATCCTGTGGACAAAAAGGTGGAGGAAGAGCTGAGAAAGGTACGTGCCTTACTCCTGACTTGAGCACTATAGCGTGGCATGCTGTGTAGGAAAAAACTGCATGCAGCCATTTTCTCCGAGTTCCCCAAAAATTCTTGGTGACTGTAACTGACTGATACAGCAAGTATCAGTAGACGCCACTGGCACTGCTGTCTTCAGTTCAGTTATGCAAGTCAAGATTTGAATCTGTCTTTGCAGCCAACTCACGTTAAGTTCCTTTTTGTGCCACTAGTTCTTACGTTACCATTCTGATAGCTCATACTAAGGGCCAAAGGCCCCGATACAGAAGAAAGTCCACTTGGAAAGCTGAACTGCCGTTGGTAACCCACTTCCCACTGTTTCCATGGTTGTTTCTGTATTATTTTAGCTCTTTGAGGTCCGTCCTGTCTGGTCTCGGAATGCAGTAAAAGCCAATATCAGTGTCCACCCGGACAAGCTGAAACTTCTCTTGCCGTATTTGGCCTATTACATGGTAAGTCTGTATATCTGCCCTCGTGCCTGTCCGAGGCTGCTAGGAGGCAGAGCAAGGGAGCATCACCTGGCTGTTCCCTGGTTCTTTAAGCTTTCTGAGGTCCCACCACTAAGTACCTGAGCTTAACGTTATGTAAAGAGAAAGAGGGAAGGAAAGCCTTGCTTTTAAGTTAAAACCATGGAGGATTCAGTATCTGTTCGCTCCATTGGTTTTAATCGGCTTTGCAGTTCAGTCAGACACTCAAATTGACTGTCCATCTGGCAATGATAGCAGAATTTTTCCAAACAAACACTTTATTGTGACCTTGCAAGTTAGTTTGTAAAAGCACACAAATATTTGGGCTTTGATGTGTTGATTGCCCAAGTTTCAGTATATAAATACTGGTGTGGCAAGTGAGGAAGAAGCTGGTAAAAGAAATAATTTTTGGGCAATGAGGGGAAATACGAGAATTTTCTAAGAAACTCTGCAACGCTACTGTTTTTTTGTAACCATCTCCCCCATGTGTGTTTATGCAGTTAACAGGTCCTTGGAGAAGCTTATGGGTTAGGTTTGGGTATGACCCCAGAAAACACCCGGAAGCAAAGATTTATCAAGTACTGGACTTCCGAATTCGCTGTGGAATGAAATATGGTAAAAGGGCCCAAACCATAGAGACGTGCTCTCTGCTTTCTGGTTAATCCTGGTACTACTTTTCTTTTTACTTGTTTTTCAAACTCTTTTGCCATATTTCTGCTCTGATGAAGATGACACCTTTTGAGTTCATTGCTTACAGTAGTTCTTCTGTTAACTCCTTTAATACTTTATTTCATAGTATGCAATGTGTCTTTCCTCATTCGGCATATTCCAAACCCAATGGACAGCTGGCTGACGTTCCTCCTCCCTGTGTTCAAAGCTCAGGTAGCAGACCATCTTCCCTCTCGCTCAGGGGAGGCACCGAGCAGTAGATTCTGTTACTTACATAGTAGCTTTTCCTCAACGACCTCAACATCTTGTGAGGCTGCTAGGAGGCAGAGCAAGGGAGCATCACCTGGGTATTCCTTGTTCTGTACATCTTGTGCAGGACGCTAGGTCTCAGACCTTGGGACGTAGGGTTCCCGTGCTCTGATTTTGCAGAGGGCAAGTTGAGGGAAAGGACTTTCTGACGTCATCTAATAAGTCCATGACAGAGCTGGCACCCAGTCATTACCATCAGATCACATCTCCCCCTCTTTCCAGGTTAAAGGGTTTTGTTGGTCTGACAGCTCTCCCCTCCCCACCTTGCTGAAGTCAGCATATCCCGAAGACCGCCCTGCCCTTTCCACACCCGTCCAGCGCTTCTGTTACTGAGCTAGGGATATTCTGCAGGGTGCTTGCCCTCCGTTCATTATTGGTTTTCTTTTTTCACCTCTAGGTTATGCCCCTAACGATATGCCTGTGAAAGCAAAACGCAGCACGTATAACTACAGTCTGCCCATCACTGTCAAGAAGCCAGGTACGCGGTGCCAGCAGAAGGGCTGTCTGGCTCTTCTGTTTCTTTGTTTACCCCATCCTAGCCACAGGTAGTGAAGGGTCTTCCCGTGTTCCAGCTGAGCCAAAATTGGAGCTTTATTTCTGGTTGTAATACGGTGCTGCTGTTAAAGCCAGTAGAAGAGTCTCCTGCTGGGAAGTGGTGTGAGAGACCCGGATGCACGTCTGGCTGAGCCAGTATCTATTAGCAGACAGGAGGGAGTTCTGCAAGCACCACTGGGGGAATTCAGCATTCATTTCTGTTCAGTGATGGTGCAGAGTAAGGGGAGAGTTGTTCTCTTTTCTTTGTCGAGGGATGGTAGAAAAGGTTAAAATTACGAACAGATGCGCTGTGGAAAAAGCCGCCAAACTCACCACCTTTCCTGTGACTGTCCAGTCATGTCTCTGAAGAATGAGCAACACATGCTCAGCTGCTGGCTTGGGCTGGCTTTTGCTGACCAGCAGAGTTGAATCAACACAGAGAAGTGACAGTACAATGCCACAGAGTGAAAGATGCCCCTAATTAGGACTCTCTTTTTTTTTTGTCTTTCAGTAAGTCATACAGTCAGTGTACATGATCTGAAACAGGGGCTTGGTACGTCCGGTGCATCGGGTGCAAAAAAGCCTGCCTCCAGCAGGTACAAACTGAAGGTGAGCATTACTCTCTTTTACCAGAATCTTGAAATAGCTTAGTGAAAAAGGGGAGTTTCCCATTTCCCTCCAAAGGGGTGTTATCCCACTCACAGTTGTGAGCGAGCTGATGTCCTCAGGCTTACCTGGGAAGCTGCTAGTTGTACATGTCACTACAGAACTTCACCTGCTGTCCGCTGAATGTATTTCTTACATGCTGCAAGATGGGATTGGTACTCTCAGCCCTAGTCTTAGATGTGATGAGCGTTTTGTTTCAGTTGATAAAATTGGAACTTTATGGGCAGCGAAGTGCAAAAAATCACCATGTGTTTATCAGGTCGTCCTGCAAAATCCAGCAGGGCAAAATAAATACTTAAACAGGGGTCTTTTATTCTTCCCTTTTTGCTAGAATGAAGCTTATGGTCCACTGTTATGGTCCACTGTTATGGTCCACTGTTATGGTCCACTGTTATGGTCCACTGTTATGGTCCACTGTTATGGTCCACTGTTATGGTCCACTGTTATGCGGTAACAGGCTGCAGACAGACCTGCAGTTTGAAGAGATGAAGTGTGGTCTCTGCACAACTGTGCTGTTGTGACTGTGGCCGCAGTGAAATTTTGCTGCGTTCCTCATTCAGCTTTATCTTTTGCCATATGCAGACCTATGCCTGGGAACTGATTTGTGCAGGAAGTGCCTTGTTCTTGAATCAGCCCATCGGAAGTACTTTTCAGTTATGCCAGAGTTGTCCTGTTACACCATAAAATGCACATTAATCCTTTCCTTCTTTCCTCCTCTTAGGAATCCATCTACATTTTCCGAGAAGGAGCCTTACCCCCTTATCGGCAGATGTTCTACCAGCTCTGTGACTTGAATGTGGAAAGGTATTACACACTGGCAGCCGAGTCTTCTGTTAGAGCTAGATTTCAAAGCCTATCGTTTATATCCAGCCCGTTCCCCTCTCTCTCCTTGACTAGAAACTTGAGGTGTTTAGCTTCTGAATAAAAATAGAACAGGCTTTGCACACATGAACTTCCTTTCCCAAATGACAATTACGTGAATAGCCAAATATGCTAGTCCAACTCAATGAAGTAAAATAGAAGTAAGCCATAGTCTGTCTCATTTGAAGCCTACATCCGAATGTAGAAGGCTAACGTTTCCTTCCCTTTTGCTGCTGTTTAGCCTACAGAAAATCATCCGTCGGAATGATGGCACAGAGACAGAATGCACAGAGCGGGATGGGTGGTGCCTTCCAAAGACTAGTGATGATCTGCGAGATACCATGTCTCTGATGATAAAGCAGATAATCAGATCTACAAGACCTGGTAAGGATTCTGATGAACATCAACGTATATTACTACCTTGCTGCCTACTACTACAGTGTATTACTACCTTCCTGATGGTGTTGAGACGTTGTGGGCTGAATAAGGATGTTGGAGTCAGCACTGGGGCAGTAGCATTCCTGTATTTGCCTCCTCCTTTGTGTTACATCTGGTGTTCTTTGTGCTCTAGCGCATTACAGTGTGTGAGCTGAGGCTGTCGTGCAGTGTGAACGTGGGTTGGGATTAGGAATGGCTGGGAGTAAAGCTTTTCTGTTTCATCTTCCCAGTATCATGGCCTTCAGGTTTTAAAAGTCTTTGCCCAGTGATAATCAAGATCTTATTCTTACTGATGTATCTGTTGCTGGTATTTTGCTTTTTATTGATGTTATTAATTGAACAAGAAGTGAGGGAATTGTTTTTGCATGATGCTGGGCCAAAGGAGTATCCCAGTGAATTAGGTCAGAATCTGCTAGGAGAGGAGGCACAGCACTGCAGATCTGCTGCTGTTCTGCCAGCGTTCCTGGAGTATGAACACAGATTGCTTTGGGCTCGATCAAATTCTATTATGTGCAACATTAGCTGTGCCCCTCTGGCTCTGCCTTCCTCTCACTGGTTTTATGAACTCTACTGCAAATGCCCCCAGGGTTCACTGAGGGAGGCATCACAGTGTCTGTCTGTCTGTCTTCCCAATTAAGCTCTTTTCTCAAGTACAACAAGCAGTGAAGATGGCAAAGAGCAGCTGGCATATGAGTCTGGAGAGGATGAGGATGATGAAGAGGAGGAGGAAGAGGACTTCAAGCCTTCTGATGGGAGTGAAAATGAAATGGAGACAGAAATTCTGGACTACGTTTGAACTCGGCAAGCAGTCTGTCTGCCGTTGGACAGAATCGTCTCTGCTCTTGTTCCTCAAGTGCTGAGGGTTCAGCCACCATGCCCAGGATGTGGGGAAGCAGAACTTGCAGTAAGATGCCGATGACCTGTCTGCACTGACTGCTCTGCCTGCTG